TTCATTACGAATATGTACTGAGCACATATTGATCTCCTGATGGGACATTCTTACGAATCCGAGAGTTTGTGAGTCGCTCAAAGGCAAATAATACTAGTCTCTGGTTAAACAATATAGTACTGATGAAAATCATTGTTGATTTCACTCAAAACTTGGACAAGGGAGGAGTTACCGACCTCACCTCATTAGATTTCCTAGCCAAACTTCATTATTATGGCATTCACTCAGATGCTATTCTTCTGACTGGGAATTTTGGAGCAGATGAACCCAACGGGTCAGGATGATGAGTTATCCGATTGAAAACAAAGAATTGGTGGTGTTCCACAGGAAAGTGTGATGGAACCACTCCTCTACGCAATATTCGAACCCAACAGGAATCTACATCTTTATGCTGAGGGCAGCTAACTGTACAAGGCAGACGACGCCCCAGATAGTTCTAATATACTAATATCAGATCTGGGGTAGAACACGAAATACGAATACATAGGAAAAAATATATTCGGTTTTTTCTGTTCAAGAACGAAACAAGAGATACCCTGACTAAGTTTCATTCGTATTTTAAAAATTCTACCCCTGAATGAACAAGTCAAAAACTGTGGGGATATGTGTCGGCTGGAAAATTTACACTAAAAAGGGAAAACCCGTGCTGCAATATTAAATAACACTGTAATGAATCTCATTTGTGACATGTGTGATTGATGACTTGTTTATTTCGTGGTAATTCATGATCACTTTAATGAAATGAATAAAACACTTTTGTCTAATCACCACTAGCCTGAGCCTGAGCTCAATGAACTGCGCAACCCGATAACCCCGGATGACGTTCGAAGAGCCCTTGTGGGTTCCAAGAACTTTGCTGCTTCAGGCCCAGATAGGCTGAACACTTATTGGTGGAAAAAACTACCAAGCACCCACCGCTATCTGGCCAGAGTTTTCAACTCATAGCTGGACGGAGAGTAGCCGATTCCGGGTTGGTTTGTCGAAGACCGTTCTTATCCCCAAAAGCGGCTTTTTGTCGATTCCTAAGAATTACAGACCGATAACATGCATGTTTCTTGTATATCATCAGAACCAGAAGAGCTATATTTCATTTCTTCACATCATTGAATAGGTCTCTGAAATACGCAACTTTGCCATCATTCAACCGACACTCTATCTCTTATCGTTTACGAGATCCCCATGTAAGGAAACGAATTTGAATAACCCTGTATATGAAATACTTTCGAAGAAATCTCAAAAAACAATCTGGAAACAAATATACGGGATTACATAGAAGCGGGTGAAAAGACTAGGAGATATATTTGGGTGCACTTCTCGAGTTATTGATTGCAAATCTAAAACTAGAGTCATTAACAGAATTGGAGGAACATAAAAGGGTGTCCAGGGAGAATGAGTTGTTGTGATTGGTAATGAAACTCTAGAGACATTGGCAGCAGAATAATGGAAGTTTTCATCTCCATGTATAACGGACTTTGTCTCACAGTCAGCCAGATATCAAACCCTAATGAAATGAAAATCTAGCCGCTAGATCTTCAGTTTGTTGTCTCATCCCGCTATATTCTAGCGAGACGAGACAACATACTGAAAAATCCTTCACAAGTGCAAAGAAATCAGGTTTCCAACATAATAAAATGAAGCCCTGAGGAAATCTACGAAAGACGGAAGCAAGAAAAGAGCTAAAAAAAAGAAGTACTTGTAGGTGCTCTCTTGTATATTGGGAATGCAATTGATAATACATACCCAGAAGCATTCATCTTAGCGTCAAAGAGGAGAGGGAAAGACAATACAAGCTACACGTAAATAAATTGATAGGAAGATTGGTATACATGACCATTACGGGAGAAATAGGTGGCACTTGTGGCAAAGGACTGAACTGGGAGAAAGTTCTGTTAACTGCTGTGAAATATGGTAATGTAAAGACCTTGAGGAATATAAAGACCTTAACCTTGAGAAATGTAAAGTGATGTTCTATGCAGACGACCTGTGTCCAGAGGAATTATAATAAATACAACAAGAGGGTTCTAACTCCTTTCCCGCTTTGGGGCTTCGTAAGATGGAGCTATTACTATTTGTAATGTAATATTAAATGGAAGGTAATACTTCGAAATCCATCTGCGGGTGATCGACAAGATTGATTTTAGTGTAGTCCTTTTGCTGGATGAACGAGAAGCATCTATAAGACCCCCCTTTTGTGGTATCTTGCATGAATGAATGAATCGAAGAGATTTTTGTATGAAAGTGTATAATTATAAAATTATTGCAAAGCGCTTTCGAATTTCGTCATCATCAGTGCTCACCTGAAAGTAAGTGATCTAACTGAGGAAGAAGTTATGTGAAAATTGGAGTTTGCAAAAAAAAAATTTAAGGTTGAGAAATTTGGAAAATTGTTTAAGATTACTTACTTGTCAGGCAACAGGAAGTATCATAATAAGTACATGGCACATTTGTAATATTTGACTCATATAAAACAAAACAGGCTGATAGCCAATAAAATACATTTTTGGATTGAGGTCATGTGGTTCAGTCAAAGTATTATATGAAAGAAGGACAACTTGAGACAGGATGTGACAAGTGTCATGTTAAAAATAATGGTACCAACTTGAGGAGTGAATAATTATGTTGTGGAGAAGCCAATATAGAATAAAGTATATTAGTAATAAATTTGATTAATTAACAATTCATAATCCTTTTATGNATAAAACTTACCCAAAAAAATTATTTTTCATATTCATGGAAAAAAATCTTTACCTCAATTATTTCCGGAGTACTTATGATGAGCCAAAACGGAATATGATTCAGACCAGAAGCTTCATAGATCATAATAGTCCTAGCTGAGTTGGTTACAATCATCATCTGGACATCCACACAGAAAATAGCATCGGTAATCCAACGATTTCTTCTTCTCCTTTCATCTTCTGATCGACTTATATCTTCTCTCGTCATTATGGCTTGGTACGAAGTGAGAAAATTCAAATTGCCGTCGTATAAACCTATTCGTCCGTGTTTGGATATAATAGCGTAGCAAAAATACCTCTCTGTTTCGATCAGAACAATTTTCACGATGGTTTCTCGCTGAAGTGGTCAACACAGAACAAATTAAATGATTTGAGAGTGGGAAACACTTTTTGACAAACTACAGAACAGAAAAATCTGAATGAGCTTCTCTCTAGCACTCTAGCATGTTGTTTTGGTTGGTTTCCGGGTTTTACCGTGGTTTTCGTTGTTTATATGCAACTGCGGCAGTCACCTTCAGTGGTGTGGTTGGAGTACTTTTCTTGACGTGTTAACTGAAACTGGAGCTCTCATTTCTGCTGTGCTGATTTTTCGCGCACTTTCGCTAATGGCGGGTTCGTGTATACTTCCCGCACGATTTGGGTAATTGGACTTCTTTTTGACACTTTTCAATCTTTGATAGATATGTTCCCTCTTCCTTTCCGATGAAGATAACTTCACACAGCATTGAGAAGAGCCAAAACGAAGCCAAGTCACCCAAATCGTGCAGAAAATATGGGCGAACCCGCCATTAGTGAAAGTGCGCGAAAAATCAGCACCATAAATGACAGACAGAACTGAGAACTTCAGTTTCAGTTGACACGTCAAGAAGAGTACTTTGACCACGCCACTGAAGATGACTGCCGCAGTTGCTGTCAAAACGTTTAGAGATTGTAACGAGATTGTAAAGAAAACCACGGCAAAACTCGAAAACCAATCAAAACACCGACGCCAGAAAGCCTACATCCCTCTATTAGCATGTTGTTAGGAAATACACTGTGTATACAAACAATAAATGATGTTTTATCTGATATACGTGAATGACATTTCTAACAAGTTGTATAATGTGTTGTATACCTCCCTCATAGCTACAGGGAGCAATGGAGCAAACAGTCTTGAAGGCCAATGAAGAAATCAAAATATTTGAAGAATGGTTCTCTTAAAATGAATTAATTTTGACATATGGAATCGTACTATGCCGAGTATCAAACAGTTTCAAACAGCTTCAAATCCTGACTTTCCATTCTTTGTATGTCATGCATATGCCAAAATAAAGCTGGCCTTATTCAGAGTGCTGGGAAACAGTAGATATCACACAAGAAATGCAGCAATCCTGGAAGTGACGAATCACCACCTCCAAAAACCAGAATGTTGCCAAAAATACACGGCAATAACCTTCTTTGATCATCTACCAAATTGCCACAAAGATCTTCCTTTGAATAAATTCATAATAGTAGTCAACAACATCTTATTAAAAATAGATAAGTGAGTATCTGGTAGACACAGATTTTAACTGGTTTTATTTTCTATGTATGCATGCATATTTCCATATTTTATATTCAAAGTTGTTATGTATGTTATGTATATATGTATGTATGTATGTATGTATGTCTGTATGTATGTATGTATGTATGTATGTATGTATGTATGTATGTATATATGTATATATGTATGTATGTATGTTATGTATGATATGTAATCTGTTTTTAATTTAAGTTTCTTATTTGCATTATCGAAAATTCGCGTGGACAAACTGTTTCCTGACATCTGACTTGTTCTGTATTATGTAAGAAATATTCATAAGAACCAATAACACATAATTAACCACCATTACTATCATATTGAATCCTTTTACATGCTTTCTTGCACTTAGTTACATCTTCAACTATATTAATTATATTGACCACAATTTGTGAAAAATATTTTAAATATTTATTTATTTTTCCTACAACTGGTACTGTACTATATTGACTTGTTTTATATTTTATTAGACATAATCTAAAGAACTGATAAATTATCATTATTATACCAAATTTTAATTAAAAAACAGGTCAAAGAATATAAAACACGACCTCCATATCACTCTGCCACAATTAAATTGAGATGAACATAGAGACAAAAATTATTAATTAAAAATATTAAACATACGAAGTGATAACTTACATTCATGTGAGGAAGACATTCTATCCTATTCACAAGAAGATTAACTGGTTGTTCGGATTTGGGAGAAAGGTTTTCTATGAGAAAATCGAGTAGGTCGTTCCACGTTATAGTAGATCTTTCTCCTACTACAACATCGTCAAACAAAATATTGCTTTGCAATGAATATCTCTCGTTACCTGAAAATAGTTTCAGTTTCATTTCTCTACTACTTGTGATGCACTGTTTGGAACCTTTGGTGTAGTAATGAATATTACTGGAGTTTTTCCCAACACCAAACCGTTATTTCAACACCTCGACACGTGTGTGTTTCGATCACCAAGGGAGCATCTTCAGAAGAAGATCAAACTGTTCTTTCTCTTGAAGATAATCACTTGATGATCGAAACACATGTCGAGGTGTTAAAATAACGATTTGATGTTAGGAAAAAACCCCAGTAATATTCATTTCTTCAGGTGAAAAAAACGGAATTGCTTACCAAAAATAGAGCAGATGGCATTCAGAAACTCTAGTTTATTGAGACCCACTTCTTCCGAGCTTTCATCATGTTCATTGAAGATTCTCTTCAGCTTTTCCAAAGCATCGTAGGAAAGATTTTGAATAAGTCCAAACCATGGCGATTTATTGGAACCTTCTTCCAGCGAGTCGAAACTGAAAATATGAGGTGAAATGATCTTTTCATTCATACAAAAATTATACAAACCTCAATGTATACAGTTCATCACAAAACACAGAGCTGCGGTACATTTTTCATGAAAGTATCGATAAAACTTTCCGCGTTACCAATATTAGTCGTTTGTTTTCAGTTGACCGGAAAATATAAATGCGACAAACACGTGGAGTTAGCGTGGAATGAAACTTTCACGATATCTGCTCTCTTGTTCGAATGAAAAAGCAAGACGACGAGGTTTATTTTTCTGCATGAAGTTTCTGTTTTTCATTTGATAAAGGTAAAGGCTGTTTCAAATTCGATCCTCACCATTGGGATTTCGGAAACTATGAGAGATACGGAGATGGTTAAATTGGTGCAAAGTTGCGCATTTAGCTAACTAACAATATGCCGTTGGAAAAGTTCTGAAATTTCGANAATAATCGAGATACAGTTTCGGGAGTCGGGACTTTTTTACGGAAATTCATTGATCTTTTCAAATCTTTTTTCAAATTTCCAAAATTTTGAAAATTTTCCGAGATATTAGGAAAAAACTAAAGCCCCATTTTATTTCACCTAATTGTTTATAACTTTTGTAATTTTTATCGGCACGTTTTCGGACCTTCTCAAACTTTCTAGGCAAAAATACGAATCGAATGACATCCTGGTCATAATTTTTGGAAAAGACTGAAAAATGTTACAAAAAAAAGTACATGTGAACTAGACTAATAATTTTTAAAGGGATTTGTTTCTAATTCATATATTGGCAAGAGTGCCTAGGATTTATACGTACCTAGATATTCTACTGTAAAAAGGAGGATTATCATATGTCATAGAATGTGTCGGAATTTGGAACATAGGTAAACAGAACAGCACGCCTCTAAAATATGTCATCTTCGTTTGTCTCATACAGGTAACAGATTCATTGTCCTTTATTAGCTATAACCGATGTTGCCAAATGGTGAAATAGAAACGAATCCCTTTAAATGTTGAATGCATTATTTCACTACTCTTTTTTAAGTATTTAAATAATTTTTTGAAGAAAAATGGTGAAATGATAAGTTTAAAATGCATTGTTTTAGAGCTCTTTTATGAAAACTTCTTGATTTTCGTCAGGAGGAACATTCCCCATTCTGACGGTTGACACCACCATTTAATGTGAAAGTGTCTCATACAGGTAACAGATTCATTGTCCTTTATTAGCTATAACCGATGTTGCCAAATGGTGAAATAGAAACGAATCCCTTTAAATGTTGAATGCATTATTTTATTACTCTTTTTTAAGTATTTGAATAATTTTTTAAAGAAAAATGGTAAAATGATAAGTTTAAAAGAGCTCTTTTATGAAAACTTCTTGATTTTCGTCAGGACGAACATTCCCGATTCTGACGGTTGACCCCACCATTTGATGTGAAAGTGGCTTCATCAGAAAAAAAAAATATTTTTTACGAGGAGACGGTCTCGGTGACAGTTACATGGCTTCACAAAATTCTATTCTTCTATCTGGATCATCCTCGTTTAATTCCTGTAAAAGGTTGATTTTCAATTTCAATACTTTGTGTACAGTTGTTTTACTGACATCGAAATCACGACTAGACTTACGAACAGAAGTCTGCACATCTTCTTCAAAAGCAAGCGGAACATCTAGTTTTATATCATCATTTACAGAAGGACGACCTGATTTGCGTGCATTTTCAACTGTACCAGTTCCTGGAAATTTCTTTTCAATCTTACTGACTGCTGATTGCGATATGCGCCTTTCTGGATATTTTTCATCAAATAAGTTACACACTTCCATCTGAGTTCGCGCTCTGTCTCCATAGCCAATCATCATATTTATTTCAATTCTTTGCTTTACACTTGAATTCATTACTACTTCAAATAATTCGAAGCAATACTACAGAAAATTCACGAATTAATGCAATAACTACCGTCCTATTTAACAGTTACAGAACGTCAATCGAAATGATGACATTTCACAATAACAAAAAAAAATCAGCCGCCTAGTTTTTTTTAATTAATGAGAAATACTTGTTAGCACGGTTACTGTCAACTACAGCAAGGACTACGGTCCGAAAATTTGAAATAAAGTCATGTAATTATTACTGGATTACTCTCTCTATTGTTAAATCATTCATTAAAAAAAAATATAAAGTAATTCATTAATTAGTACTTTTATTAGATATCAATAAAATTTATTTTCTAAGCGCACATCTTTCAAATTCTGTCCGTTAGACCCCAAGTATCATACTTTTGCGAAATCAGCTCGTTACGGATTATCTTAAACTGATACCAAATACAGGGTATTGCATTAATATGAGTCACCCTGTATAATGACATTTTGTTGTTGAATGTAGAATATTAAAATTAAAAATCGACGTGTTTCAGATTTTTGTAAAACGACTTTTGGTTATGGAAATATCGAATTTATTCCATACTTTGGGGACACACTGTATATTACGTTGTGTAGCGTGCCTATGAATTATATACGGATTTCAATTCCATTATGCGTGTCTGGAGTACTAACGAGAAAAATAAAAAGTGATGCAATGTTCATTTCTTTGAAATCTATAAAAATCTGTTTATTTGTAAAAAATATTTATGACGTTCTTCATGGAAATTTATTAATGATATCACTTCTCATTGAATTCTCCTGTTTTCTCTTGAGCAATGGAGATTTTATGTACGGTCTTCTTTTAGGCACTAAAATGATAGAAGGCATGGTACACGTGTCTCATACAATAAAATATATAAATCATACTTGCTTGCCAAGCGATATAGACTGCGTTTTTCTCATCAAACGTTGACATGTCATCCACAAGTTTGCACTTGGACCCTTTCAGCATTGACGCCGATACAGCTTTTTTCAATGGAGAATTTTATATAGTAGACAATGGAAGTCCGAACTAGTGAAATTCAGGGAATTCTTAGTTTTGATGTGAGTATTATTGAACTGAAGGGTATTCTGGCTTTTATGAGAAACTAAAGAAAAAAACTTAACGTTCTATATCATAATCATCCTACCTTCAGAAAAGGAAGATTTTTTTAAATTTTCATCACTTTGGTTCCTCTTTACGAATGATTATAAAGAATATGGGGTTGTAAAGAGCGGTCAGTACTTCAATAATGTTTCATTGGTGAGGCCAAAACTTACTGAAAAACCCCATCGAAAAAAATGTTAGAAATACACTAAAGGTGGTAGTTTTTTTGTGCCTAAACAGCACCGACAACTCTGGTCATTAGCCTCGTGTTCTGGGTAGGCAAGGTTAACAACTCCCCGAGCCACCTAGGGAGCACCATCCATTCGCAGTCCGATAGACATGTTATATTACAGAATCATCCCAAATAGAAACATTCACTCAAGAAAAAGATTTGGTTGAGCTAATGATCGAACTAACGACCTTTCGATCGTGGGAAGGACTCACAATCACTGCGTCAATTCATCGCTGAAAGAAGGTTAATTAATTCCAATTTCATCAAATGTTTCCTTTTTCATATTGAGCTTTATTTCTCCTCGATGAAAAATACTGTAGGAGTTTCAAGTGATTGCAGTTTTTGTAATTTTTTCTTTGTCGTCTTTTGTCGAACGTCTTTGAAATTGTTCTGATAATACACGAAAAATGATTATTATCCACTGATATGATTGATTATTCAATTCAATATCTTATGCATCTGAAGTTTATGACAATGAAGAATAATAACAGAATTTCTGCACAAGTGAAAACAGAAAACCTAAATTGTCTTTTTAGTTGTACCTACCTGAATGAAGTGTTTCAAAGTCAGAAACTTCCTATTTGAAAATGAATAAAAATAGAAAATAGAATGAAATCTATACCGATTAGTTGATCAAACTGATTTCTTAAACTGGTACAGATACTTGTAATAGGGGAGCCCAAGCGAGGATTTCGGTATTTACTAAAGCGCGGCAGATTAATATACAGGGGGATACCTTGTACCCGGTCAAGTACCTCCACCAAATCCGAGACCCATATATAAGGCCGCCTATGAGGGATAAAAGATCAGATAGGTAAAAAAAAATGATCATCAGAAATTCTCGAGCGCGTCAGATTAAGGTAGGGTGAGTTAATTACGTGCTAAAAAGTGTATATTCCAGTAATCTTACTATTTAAGAGTGACATAAGGAAAGGGGAGGGCATCAAAGTTGTAAAAAAATAACGTCATTTCGACATTCTCGAGCGTAGCTAATTTTTTTTTCATTTTCAAGAAAATAATTCAAAGATAACGAAAAATATATAATGTGACGACTTTCGCAAGCCGAAATAACAAAAATTTGTCGATAAAGTTTAATGTGTGCAGCTGTGTGATACCTATATTTCCCTCTCCGAGTTTCTATTCCTCTATTCTCTATTCACTTTTTCTCTATCTATTACTTTCTCACTCCGTCCCCACTCTGAATTCTGTTGCCAAAACGCCATCACAGCTGATCACAGAGACTCGTTCAATATTTCTCAATGACGCTCGAGTAAATACCCATTTTGCATCGTGGGCTCCCCTGCTATTATGTAATATATTAGTTCCTTTCACTGGCAGTTGAGCGAATTAACTACTGGAATGGAATTTTCCTGATCCGACACATTTCCTGATCCGATACATTTCCAAATCATCTCGTATGAACACTAGCATATATAATTTCACGATACATCTCTATTAGCTGAAAGTAACAGACTATTAAATATTCCACCGCCGAAAATTAATTCCCAGAAAAAAACTGTCTCATCACACGAATTGCTGTCAACAAAGGTTACGAGGCAGGTCGACTCTATTATTTCCGAAAAACTATAAAAACAAGCCGGGCACCAAGTCTATTCAACTTCAAGGAACGATAGTGAAATTTTCAGGACATTGACATACTTTTTTTATACTGCCAATAATATCGCTCGTTTTTCGGTAGACTCAATTGTGGCTCACAGAACAAATAATGATCAAAGTGATTTTATTAGAAACAATGAAGGCAAAACTTCAGTGTAGAATGGATCAAAAATATGAAAGTTGACATGTGGTTTGCAGAAAAAATCTTTTTCTGAAGAATAAGAGACCAAAGAAGTAGAATATTTCATTTCAAAACTAGTTATTCTACGTTCGTTTGAAGATGATCGACAATGCTTCATAATGAATTTCATTAGTTCGGACGGACTTCCATTGTCTGATATATAAAATGATTTGAAATTCCTAAAAAAACTATAAAAAAAAATAAAAATGAAAGCTGAAAATAACAATTATATTGAGCAAAAAAAAACTGAAATGCTATAATAGTGAAATAAAATACAAGTAAAAATAGAACAATTGAACAAAAAATAAAAATAAAATGAAAAAAAAAATAAAAATAAAATGTTAATAGATTCACGACGTTTCGATTGTTAATTCGAACAACTGATTTTTCCGAGAGATGACTATGGGTCATTTGAGTACTTTTCCTTATCTCCGCTTTATTTTTTCCGCTTCTACGGTTTAGTGGGAGATGATCGTTTAGCGAGAGTTGGCCATTTTTCGCTTGATCATGGGTTTCCATATGTTGCGTATCTCTGTGCTAGCTTTGCTGTATTTTAGACAACATATATGCGGCTTCTTTGAATTTCCTCCAAAACCAATGTACCTTCCTGTATATGTTCTCAGCTTGGGACCACCCTATGTTATGTTGATGGGTCCAAACATGCTCTGCTATTCCTTGCTTGCTTGCTGGTTTCCCCTCGCTGTGTGTGTTTCTTGTGCTGGACGATGACATTCAATTGATTCTTAGTTTCACCGATATAGAATTTTCCGCACTCATAGGGAATCCGGTAAATGCAATTCTTGGAATCGCAGTTCACGTTTGGTGGCCTGGTTTTCGTGAGGCTGCTACGGATAGTGTTTCCGAATCTGAAGCAGGCTCTAATGTTGTACTTGTAGCCAATTCTTCTCATCCTTTCCGATGATCCTCTGATGTAGGAAAGTGCAAGCACTGGTTGTGACGGCTTCTCTTCCTTGCGAGGCTCCTGCTGTCTTTTAGCCAAAGTCCGTTCCACCATCGCTTTGGAGTAGCTATTCCGTTGAAGATAATTTTTGATGATGTCTGGTTCCTTCTCGAAACCTCCCATCGTATAACAGAGACCGAAAGCCCGGTCTGATAGAGTCTTGTTGATTCTTTTTTCAGTCTTCGGTATACAGATGTTTCCCACTTACTGTCGGTCCTCTTCACCAATACGTCCAATAATGACAATCCGTTGTGGACTTCCTTCTCCATTGTGAAAGTGATGGAATGTCTTACGCTGTTGATGTGTTTCAGGAAGGCGTCTGGATCTATCAACATAACATATAGTGGTCCCAAGCTGAGATCATACACAGAGAGGAACATTGATTTAGAAATAACTTCGAAGAAGTCGCATACATATTGTCCAACAATGTATTCAGCTAAGCTAGCGTAGAGATAGGCAACATATAGAAATCCATAATCAAGCGAAAAATGGCCAACTCCCGCCAAACGGTCATCTCCCACTAAGTCGGTGAAGCGGAAAAAGGAAAACGGATATAAGGGAAACTACTCGAATGATCCATATATAGTCATCTCTAGGAGGAATTAGTCCAGTCATCACTCGAATACGAGAGACAATCAAAAAGTCGTGAAGTAAGTTGGCTGGGAATCTTTTAGGTTTTAATTTTTTATTTTAATTTTTCATTCAATTGTTCGTTACTCGTATTTTATTTCACTATCATAGGAGTTTTTTCCCAACACCAAATCGTTATTTTTAACACCTCGACACGTGTTTCGATCACCAAGTGATCATCTTCAAAGAGGAAGAGTTTTAATCTTCCTCTTCAAAAGGCTCTTGGGTAACATATTTAATAGTATGAATTCCAATTTCCCCTATAAGTCATACATGAATGATTCTAGAGTACAGATTATGTATGTATGTTTACCAATGGAACATTGTTCCATACTGAACATATATCTTCGAATTGTTATGAGCGTATCATTTTCAATCATTTCAATTAATCGTGATTTCTTGAAAAAATATACGAGTCTACAGAGGAGATGGATGTCGAGTTAACGACTCCATCTGACCTCCCTGTAAATTCAATTCAGGAGCGACTCTCCAGAGGAGATGGATGTCGAGTTTACGACTCCAACGGACCTCCCTGTAAATTTAGTTCAGGAGCGAGTCTACAGAGGAGATGGATGTCGAGTTTACGACTCCAATTGACCTCCCTGTACTCTGCGGCGTACGCAGAATCTTTCTCAGGTGGGGGAAGTAACCCCCCATGAGCAGGTTAGCAAACGTTTGTGCTCAAGTGAGGTTTCACCAAAACCAGAGGCGAAAAAGCCCTGCACGGCTGAATGTTAGGCGTCGTCAGGTGTAGCTGACGTACAAAAACCCTCATATGGGAAGGTTGTCGTGGGTATCAAGGTGGAAATCTTGCAACTTGACTATTCAACTACCTCATTAACAGAGCATATACTCAGTGCCTGTCCCGCTGGGGACCAAATCAGGTCTTTAGAGTTCGACAGAGCCGTACTCTCACCATCTGACCTGAAAGACCACTCACCATATGAACTAATCGGCTTCGTTAAGAAGCTGGGTTTGTTTGGCCGAGTGAGAATAGGCGTGAGTCACAATAAACCCTAACCTAACCTAACACTTTATTGTGAAATTTTCACTAACATTTCATGAAATCACAACACGCCTGAAAGCTACCTCAGGCGTGTTTATGAACGCGCCTGAGGAAGGTATTGTATAGTGAAACACGTGTTGTGGCTTCGTAAACTGTACAGTGAAGGTCTCACAATGAAATTTTACTTGGATACATGAGGTAACTGTTGGAAGTTCAGTGTTAATTTATGATATTGAAGCCATGGCGATATTATATTCAGATCG